TAAGAGTCTGCTTCCAATGTGGAGAATATACTGTCCCAAGCTTCGGGGGTTTGTACAACTGTTTTCAGAGATACTTTTCTAGGGACCTGTAAATTTTCAGTTCTTCCCAGGTGCTATGATAAGGGTCGAGGTGTTTCCTCTCCACCACTACAACAAGCTCTACCATGCCAGCACTCCTCCTCGCCCCAGGACTGCCCCTGAGAACTGTGACCCAGATCCACGCACAGGCAAAACAAGGGAATACTGCCTCAGCACAGGCAAAGAGATCCCTTCAATCCCTCTCAGATCAGCCACTCAATTCCCCCTCAGTCTATGGGCTGGAAGCTCATGAGGCAGCCGCTGCCCCTGGAGCATGCTCTGGACTTGTGGCTGAGACCTAGCCCCTCGCTCACCCCAGAAACAGACTTTTCTTACTGACCTTCTGAGTTGTCTTTGGCGTTCATGGGTTGAGAAATCTGGAAACTGCCACAGCTGCCTGCAATTCAGTCCTGTGAGGCCTGCTTCAGGGTCGCTGTGGCCTGCACGCCCACACCGAACTGTGCTCCTCTCCAAGCCTGGCGCGATATACCTTTCTGATCAACCATCCAGGTTGTGTTGGGCTGTAAATTTGTTTCACTCTGTCTTTTTGTGGGTTCTGCTGCTTTAGAATTTGTTTAGAACCATTTCTTTACAGGTATTTGGAGGGGTTTGGGGGAGAGCTCAAGCAAGTCACTGTTTTTACTCTGCCATCTTGGCTCTGCCCCAAAAGAAGCATTTGTTATGAGACTTGAAGGCAACCATGGATTCCAAGAGTCAGAGGAAAGGAGGAAAAGCATCACAGGCACGTGCAGAGGTGAAGAAATAGGAGCTGGAGAGTTCTGTGTGCAGAGGTAGGCCAGTGTGGCTGAACCACAGAGTAAATGAGCAGATAGGAGCAGAGACAGGAGGGAGCACTGCTGTAAAAACCTGGAGAGGAGAGAGTATTCAGAAGAAGGTGATTGACAGAGTCATAGGCTGGAGAAAGTACAAGAGGAGGATTAAAAAGAGGCCAACAGGGGCAGCTAGGTGGCACAGTGGATAGAGATGGGGCCTTGGAGACATGAGGACCTGAGTTCAGATTAGGCCTCAGACAATTGACACTTACTTAGCTGTGTGACCCTGGGCCAGTCACTTAATCCCAAATGCCTCACCAATAAGCAAAACAAAAAAAAAAAGAGGTCAATAGATTTGGTCATTAAGAGATCACTGGAGGGGCAGCTAGGTGGCATAGTGGATAGACCTCTGGCCCTGGAGTCAGGAGGTCCTGAGTTTAAATCTGGTCTCAGACATTTGACATTTATTAGCTGTGTGACCCTGGGCAAGTTACTTAACCCACTTAACAGCAAAAAAAAAAAAAAAAGACTGGTGTATATTCCTAGCCATATGGGTGGGTATATAGTTAACTAAATTGGAAACTCCTTGAGGATATATGTCTAC